CATGTATCTAGTGTCCCGCCATGTATCTAGTGTCCCACCATGTATCGAGTGTCCCACCATGTATCTAATGTCCCACCATGTATCTAGTGCCCCGCCATGTATCGAGTGTCCCATCATGTATCGAGTGTCCCACCATGTATCGAGTGTCCCACCATGTATCTAATGTCCCACCATGTATCTAGTGTCCCACCATGTATCGAGTGTCCCACTATGTATCGAGTGTCCCACCATGTATCTAGTGTCCCACCATGTATCGAGTGTCCCACCATGTATCTAGTGTCCCACCATGTATAGAGTGTCCCACCATGTATCGAGTGTCCCACCATCTATCTAGTGTCCCACCATGTATCGAGTGTCCCACCATGTATCTAGTGTCCCACCATGTATCGAGTGTCCCACCATGTATCGAGAGTCCCGCCATGTATCTAGTGTCCCACCATATATCTAGTGCCCCGCCATGTATCGAGTGTCCCGCCATGTATCGAGTGTCCCGCCATGTATCGAGTGTCCCGCCATGTATCGAGTGTCCCACCATGTATCTAGTGTCCCACCATGTATCTAGTGTCCCACCATGTATCTAGTGTCCCACCATGTATCGAGTGTCCCACCATGTATCGAGTGTCCCACCATGTATCGAGTGTCCCACCATGTATCGAGTGTCCCACCATGTATCGAGTGTCCCACCATGTATCTAGTGTCCCACCATGTATCTAGTGTCCCGCCATGTATCTAGTGTCCCGCCATGTATCGAGTGTCCCACCATGTATCGAGTGTCCCACCATGTATCTAATGTCCCACCATGTATCTAGTGTCCCACCATGTATCTAATGTCCCACCATGTATCGAGTGTCCCACTATGTATCGAGTGTCCCACCATGTATCTAGTGTCCCACCATGTATCTAGTGTCCCACCATGTATCTAGTGTCCCGTCATGTATCTAGTGTCCCACAATGTATCTAGTGTCCCACCATGTATCGAGTGTCCCACCATGTATCTAATGTCCCACCATGTATCGAGTGTCCCACCATGTATCGAGTGTCCCACCATGTATCGAGTGTCCCACCATGTATCTAGTGTCCCGCCATGTATCTAGTGTCCCGCCATGTATCGAGTGTCCCACCATGTATCTAGTGTCTTACTATGTATCTTGTACCCCAAATGTATCTAATGTCCCACATGTATCTACTGTCCTACAGGTATCGTGTCCAACATGTATCCAACGTGTCACTGTCTCTCCATTCCCCTATCGTGTATCTCCCATCAGCGGAACAACAAAGTGTCAGCCGTCCACACCAATGATCGATTCCGCCCAGGTAGAACATGTCCTGCCCGTCATCGTATCGATCCCAAGTGTCATGCCTCGTCAAAGGTTCGTTTCATTTCTTTTATTTGCATACCCGAGACACGCGCTCTCGTGCCGTTATTTCTGTTCACCTGATTTCATTTCATAAATATTTGATTTGCTTGTTTGAATACGATCATAGATCCGCGCATCAACGCAGGATCGTCTTTGAAAAAAAAAAAAAAAAACGGCCGTTGTAAGGATGGTCCATGCTCTTTGAATGTTCTACTGCTGCCGTTGATCTAGTTTTCAAAATAGGTATGATAAATTAATTGACAAGCATTGATCTGCATTTATAGAATTAGAGAAAACAAGAAACAAACCTTACAGAAATCGTACGAGAATGGAAGGGATTAGAAGTACAATCAAGTTTTAGGCCAAGTGGCACTAATTTTTGAAATGCAAGCACGTGAAAATGAACACGAAAAGGTGAGTTGAGTTGAATCAAGAATTGGCATCACAGCACTTGAGGTATTCCCGTGCGTGCTCCGTCCTCATCTTCAGCAGCCAGCGCAAAGTTCCAATACTGATGGTACCGGTCATAATCTGGTTATATGTTCGTCTTTCCTTTTAAATTAATTGATCTCCGTGCGGTTAATAGGGCTCCATTTAGAGGACGGCGGGGGAGGGGGAGGAGGGGAAGATACCCATTGCTCCAACCCCTTACAGGCATGTCGCACAGGAAGCTCATTGTCAATGTTTCCTTTGTAGTCGAAGTGCGTCTACCCGAGAGGCAAGGAACCAACAGCCTGCACACAAAAAAGCTAGATCTGTGCAAAAAAAAAAAAAAAAAAAAACTTCTTTTTCTTTCTTTCTATGCCTTAGTTTTCTCAGTCCATTGTTTCTCATTTCAGTGCCTGCTTGATATTTCTCTAGACACTTCTCCTCGGAAAGTATCCCATACATCGCTATCCCCTTCAACGGATGTCCAGATATTTCTCATTTCTTTGTTTTTTTCCATTCACATTATTTAATTTTTACCATTTTCTGCAGGCATTTGTTTTCAAATGCATTTAAAATTTCGTTCAAGAAACTCGCAGACAAAAATAACGCTGATGGGAAATGAGGAGGAGAAGCAAACAAGAGGCAGACAGCGGTACAAGTGTTAAGAAAACATCAAGAAGCCGACGAACAGTAGTCTGTCACAATGTGTGACCAGGGCCAGACACGATATGTTAGAGATCCACTGATGGGTAACATTTAGGGCGAAGACGGCGCCCCATCAATAACAAGCAACGGAACACAAAAAGCACACAAATACTCCTAGCAATAAATGTAACAATAGAATAACAAATTGCCTGTGTTCTAAAGTTTGCTACTAGGCGGCGGCGAGAACAACATAACCAAGCCGATAGACACAACAATAAACTCGCAACAATGGCTTTTGACTGGCGAACAAATTAAAGTTGCTCCTGATTGTCCGATTTGTTGGCTTACACAACTTCAATAAGAGCTCCAGAATGTGACTTGGCGTGGGTCCACTACCCCCAACATGGCTGCCCGGCAGTTCTACCTACAGAAACCAGGCAGCGTGTCTTTGATGTGGAGGGCTCCCAGTGGAGCATCTTTTGTCGACGGCTGACAAGGGGATGTTAATTTCTCACACTTGCTTGTTCCTTTCTCCACGTGTTCTTCTCAACTCTGTCAATCCCCACGTTAGCGTGTAATTAGCTCTTCTATGAATCCCACCCGACGTGTAATATGATCTCATATTTATTACATTTGGTCACAGCAGACTGCAGAAATCTGGCTTCTGTGGTGCTTTGCTTCCCACGCATACATTATCATAAAAAGATATCAAACCAAACGAAGAGTAGAACTACTTAGCTACATGTCATCACAATAATAAACGACAGCCTGCTTTAGCATACTAGAAAAATATTTAGTACAACAAACAAGATCAAGAAATAATAAAATCAGTTAACTGAAGTGTCTCCCAGAAAAATCACATATTTGTCCGGCCAGTTGAATATTTCTCCTCCTCTATCTGTTCTGCATTTCATTCACACTTTCTCCCTTGCTACTGTCTCTTTCTCTGTTTTCCCACTTACTCCCTCTCTCCCTCAACACATACAGTAGCTTCCTCCCTCAGCTCCTACATATACTGGCTCCTTATACAAAGGTTACCCCCTTTCTCCCCTTCCCCTCACTCTCACTCACTCACTCACTCACTCACTCACTCACTCACTCACTCACTCACTCACTCACTCACTCACTCACTCACTCTCTCACTCACTCACTCACTCACTCTCTCACTCACTCACTCACTCACTCACTCACTCACTCACTCACTCACTCACTCACTCACTCACTCACAAACACTGATTCACTCACTCACTCACTCACTCACTCACTCTCTCACTCACTCACTCTCTCACTCACTCACTCACTCACTCACTCACTCACTCACTCACTCACTCACTCACTCTCTCACTCTCTCACTCACTCACTCACTCACTCACTCACTCACTCACTCACTCACTCACTCACTCACTCACTCACTCACTCCCTCACAAACACTGATTCACTCACTCACTCACTCACTCACTAACTCACTCACTCACTCACTCACTCACTCACTCACTCACTCACTCTCTCACTCACTCACTCACTCACTCACTCACTCACTCACTCACTCACTCACTCACTCACTCACTCACTCACTCACTCACTCACTCAAACTCACTCACTCACTCACTCACTCACTCACTCACATACTCAGTCTGTATCTCCCACTCTCACTCCCGCTCGGATACGACGTGAAATACGGGATCCCCTTTCCATACATTCAGGTGTACTGGGTATATAGGGCTAGACCTATATTTTCACTAAACTGTCGCACTTAGTGGGAATATGGTCCGCACCATGCCGGCCGCCTATGCTTCCAAGGTACCATTTTAAGGCTGGGTCGACATGGAAGACAAACTCATTTTTGGGGGGAAACAAATCTAGCATCGTTCGGATCCGAACCTGCTACCTTCAGATTCGCAGATACGACGTACACACAAGTGCCTGCACACCTGTTTTACCAATTTCTCTTGTTCGAATACTGACTGTTGGTTCCTCGCCTCTTACTTATCGCAAAAGAAACGCTCCTAATTTTACGGCATGCTTATTAAGAGGTAGAGGGCCTTTTTTTTTAAGCCTAAAGTGGGGCCCGTAACCCACATTGGGACTACAGTATCAACAGGGACAACAACAGCTGCACCAGCAACAATAGCAACAGCAACAACAACAGCAACAACAATAGCAGCAACAGCAACAACAACAGCAACAACCTATACAAGTGACCCATTGAAATTATCTATATAATAAACAGAGGGGAGACACTTGAGGCCGCAAAAATATTATATATATTTATAATACATCCAGACACTGTATTGATCGACAGTCATAGAAAGAAGTAGAAAAATAGAAGGATACACTAGACAACATAAAAATGTAAAACTATAGTTAACTTGCCAGGAATCGCACCTGGCACCTCCAATCGCCGTGTGTGCTTCGCTATAGAAACAAGTATACTAAGACACATGACCAACTAGGCACCCCTTTAAAAGGGTGTCTTCATTGACCATGACTATCGTACAGCTTGAAATTCACAATTATCTACTACTGGTGACCACAGGTAAGACATACAGTATCACACAATGTACTCACCATCTCTAGGTGGGGAGGGCGTCTGATAAGGACTCACTGAGAACGGGTGGGTCGGAGGCGTGCCGTAGGAACCTGACATGCCATTCATCCCAAACGGGTACCCCAAGGAGCGGCCATGCTGATGCCCTGAAAACACCGAGTCGTGAGGCTGATGGTGTTGCGGGTGGGGCCCTGGGTACTGCGAGCGGATCTGGTAGGCCGGATGGTGGCCCATGGAGTGAGGGATGCCCCCGGACTGCTGCTGGAGTTCCATGAAGGCTGACTGCTGCTTCATCATGTCCTGCTCCAACCCATCCATGCCTGACGCCATGTTCAACATAGTGGCTAGCGGCGGCCGATAACTGCAGCAGAAAATAAATACATATGATTTTTTTTTTGTTAAATTCGAAAACAAACAATGCATTAAACGATCTATTGCCTGGCAAAGTTCACTGTATTTCGTCAGAATAGTTAAAGCAACCTAAAATGAGGCCCAAAAATGAATCCTTTCCAGGGAAATAAACAAATCACATTGTCCACTTACCACTGTACATGGTCGAAAATGCAAGATCAGCCCCGTGATTACATTGTTAGAATCAAATTTATCACATGTTTTTTTTTTTTTTGTTTACAGAAAGCGGGAGGGGTTATGTTTATTGTTACGAGTTCAGCTAACTTCCGTCAAATAGACAACATACACTGCTCTTGGGGTTTGTTACATGTGCGCGTTTTAATTAACATAGGAAAGTACGAATACAAATATACGTATTTTGTGTGCATGCACGTGAATGAATGAATGAAAGAATGAATGAGAGAGAGAGAGAGAGAGAGAGAGAGAGAGAGAGAGAGAGAGAGAGAGAGAGAGAGAGAGAGAGAGAGAGAGAGAGAGAGAGAGAGAGAGAGGAGATAAGTAGGCACTGATTTATGAGACCACAGAGAAGTGAAAAGTCCTTTCTTGACCAGGCAAAAGACATTCTTTTTCTGAGTGTTCACCGGCCGTTAATTCCAGCAGAAAGTTCTAGTTGTTTAGCCATTTTTGGGACCCTGGCCTCACCCCAGAACTTGAATTCTGGAAACTTTTACCCTTCCCTCCCCCTTTCTCCATGGGAATTCGGAACAGACATGAGGATAAATTTAGGGTGATCGAAAAACATGGAAACCATGGCAAGAAAGAGCAAAATGAAAGATACAGGAAACAACACGAAACTGTCACGGGGGCAGTTGAATTTAATTAAGATTCGACATCACAGCACTCGGTACACCCCCATATGCGCTCCGTCCCCATCTTCAGCAGCAAGCGAAGAGTTAAAATTCCGATGGTACCAGTAACTGTCTGATTGTATATAAGTCTCGCCTTTCCCTGAGCGTCGGCCAGATCCCCTAGTAACTTCTCGCAGTGGCATTCTCCTTATTTTACTCAATTACCAATCAAGTTTTGATCTAAGCGAAGAGACTGAAGCCTTTATGATGAAATCTAAGGGACATGCTGAAGGATCATTGAATCAGCCATCTTGAGACAAGTACTGAAGATCGGCGCTGCCAGTGGCTGCGGTCAATAATGAGTCAAGATTGAGTGAGCTAGCAGTCAATTTGACTCTGGTTAAATAGTCAGAGGGCGTCAGAGGTGCTTACTTTCTCTCTCTCTCTCTCTCTCTGTGTGTGTGTGTGTGTGTGTGTGTGTGTGTGTGTGTTTGTGTGTGTGCGTGCATGAATGCACTCTATTATATATCTCTCACCGTGTCTCTGGCCCTTTATTTCTCTCTCACATACTTATGCCATCCCTACCTCATGCGCTCTCTCTTACCTCTCTCTCTGTATTGCGTGTGCTTTCCCTCCCTCTCTCTCCCTCTCTCTCTCTCCCTCTCTCTCCCTCTCTCTCTCCCTTTCTCTCTCTCTCTCTCTCTCTCTGTCTCTCTCTGTGTATCTCTAACTTTATCTCTTACTCTTTCTTTTTCAGTCACATACTTTCACCCATTCTCTCTCTCTTAATCTCTTAATCCCAACTTACTATCCGACTCTCATGACGTTTAACTCTCTCGCCTAAAATCTCAATCACAACTCACACCATCACGAACTCACTCTTTTATTTTCACTTATCACTATCATTAACTCTCTTCCTTCTCTCTCCTCTCTCTCTCTCTCTTTCTCTCTCCCTCACTTGTTTGTCTTCATTTCTCTATTTGTCTCTACGTCTCTCTGAGAAAATATCGTTATCTCTTTGAGTTTTTCTGCACTCTATCTCATGTTGTTACGACCTGTCCATGTGTCTGTCTGCCAGCCTGCCTATATGTCTGTCTGTACGCCTAAAATGGGTACAGGAAAATGTCACGGAAAACAAATGCGACCACATCACATATCGAGCGTGGATTGATCTACAAAAATATGGTAAAACCCCAGATGCTGCTTGATGCATCTTTGGCGTGCAAAGGTCCCCGTTGAATGAATCAGTACAAAACTACACTGTGCGTGGTTACCTTCATCTTCTCCCCGTATGTAGGTGCTGTTGGCAATGAAAGAGCGGATGTTTTGGCCTGCAGACAGCGATTTTCTGGATCGCGCCGACACAGAAATTGCAATAAAGATCCTTCTGGCCAGGCACGAGAGGCGCACCAAACGTACGTTATCAAATAGCACAGAACTGGGACTACTATCCACGGGACGATTATGAATATGTTGAAGTGGAATCTGAGCACCTGTAGACGTGTCCGGAGTGCCATGAAGATAAGCAAACCCATCGCTCATATAGATTTGTGTATTGGGGATTAAATGTGAGTAATTGACACTCATATTTGTAGTATCGTCGGTGACATCGTACTTTTATTGGCTATAACTGCGCAGCGCGGTTGAACGGGGTTACCCGTATTTACTAGTGTAGATTTGAGTCATTTGGTGTTAATCTCTCAATGAAAGATTATACTGTAAGAGGAAAAAAAATCATTCCACTGGCAAGACATCAACGTGACTGCTTCGGGTTACGTCAGTTAAGTAAATTTAGGTATTGTGTGGTTTTGTTTGATTTATGTATGAGCTGTCACTTTCCGTGTGTGTTTGTTATACTGTGAAGCTCTACGATCTACTTTCTGTTTGTTTTTATATCTATCATAAAAAGGGGGGAGGGGAGGGGGGGCAGGGCTTAACAAATTATTTATTTTTTAAAGGTCAAACATACAAACTGTCAAGGTCAAAATGACGTAGGCGGATGGATTGAGCAGTTAAGGATTAGATTAAAATCTGAGCACCTATGGGAGTGTCCTGAGTGTATGTACTTGTTTACGCCTACACACACGAAAGAATGTGAATTAATGTGAAACAGAGAGATGTAGAGATAACAGGAACACGATAACGAGAGCGAGCGAGTGAGAGAGAGAGAGAGAGAGAGAGAGAGAGAGAGAGAGAGAGAGAGAGAGGGGAGACAGACAGAGGCAGAGACAGAGACAGAGAGTAAGGAGTAAGACGTGTGTTCAACCCATGTGCTCCTGAAATCGCCAGCATCTACATTGTTAGACATTTGCTGAAGGAGACTGAGCTTCTAAAGAAATGACCGGAATGCTACGATATCGATTCTTAAATCCGTAATCAGTATATTGTCAGCTGACATTTAAGTACTTGCAACATGTCTTTACTTCAAATTAATCCTGTGGCAACAGAACCCGACAAATAAGGGTCACATACAGGTTGTTGGTAAAATCTCACTATATTTTGTATGCCGATTAAATTTGAAAAGCTAAGTTTAGGTCGATAAGGTAAAAGTTCAAAGTCGAGACGATCGATTTCCACTGCACCGGGTTGAAAACAAAAATGCGCCAAACAGTAATTTAATTAGTTACAATAGTTACTGTTATGGTTTAATGCTGCTTTAGGAAAGCGGGAAAGTACTAATTAAGAATTTGTTTTAACGGGTATTGAAAATGTCTACCATGGGCTTCTAGACATGCCTGTACACGTCTCTTCATATTGTCAAATACCTTCTGCAACCATCTGTGTGTATCGACCGCCATTTCGAAACACTTGTTCAACCCACCCCACCCCCCCCCCCCCCCCCCCCCCCCCCCCAATTCTCTTTCTTCCGTTGATGTTTTAAGTGCAAATAATTATATCAGCAAACAAGAGTCATTCACTGCTTAAAATGCTTCACTACTGAATGTGCAGCCCATTTTTGTGATGACATCATCACTTCGTTTCGCAGATGTGTTCTACTTACAAACGCTTCGACAAGCCTTTAGCGATGAATGGATACTACTGTCTCTGCCCAAAAGAAACTGGAGGTGTCATTTAACAGGAATACACGACATGTGATGCCAAAGAAAAATAACGGCAGTAGGGGGAACCGACACATAAAGACAATAGAAAGGTTACTTATGCTTGTCTGTGTCAGAGGCGATGAAACCTGGGTAGGAGTATCAAGAGCTACTTGCTGCCCCCCCCCCCCCCCCCCCTCTCGGCTACCCCACTAATGTATCGAGACTAGTGTCCTTCAGCAGCATATATTAATATACTCTTTTTAAAGCATGTGTGTGTGTACATAACATATCTTTTTAAAGATATTGTTTTTTATTTTCCATTAAGGACAGACTGTTATTATTACGCAATTGAACAGGACTGGAGTTTTTACCAATGCTAGAAAATTACTAGAGGGTGAGCGCTTTTTTCTGTGGTGGCACACCTGGTGTATGTCCGAGTGAGTGAGTTCTTGTGTGTGTGTGTGAGTGTGTGTTAGTAAGTGAGTGCGTGTGTGAGTGAGTGAGTGCGTGTGTGTGTGCGAGTGAGTGCGTGTGTGTGTCTATATATTTGTAAGAGAGAAAGAGAGAGTAATGCAAAAAGGATGAAAGGGAGAAAGAACGAGAGAAAGAGGGTGAGAGAGAGAGAGATACAGAGATACAGAATTACAGAGATAAACAGAAACTAGAGGAGATAGATACAGAGACCGAGAAAAAGAAACATAAATAGGCAGATCCGGACCAAGGGAAACAGACAGGCAGGCAGACAAGGAGTTGAAGGAAAAAAAGAAGAATTTAAGCATTATCAGCCTGTTCGTTTCCTCATACGCCCGCACGCCCTGATACAATAATGAAACTGATAACGGCTGAATTGGGTTTCCGGTACCTCTCCAAGGGTGATCCTCATCCGCATGGTGGCACCTTGTGTCACCCGGTGTTTATCGCTTGTGTGATGTCCTGGTGGGGTACAACATACATACCTACATCTTCACTGTGACCCTTCTTTCACATCTCAGACACAAGCTTCGAACCTGGACCAACTGACAGATAAACACGTGCTTAAAAAAAAAAAACAGCCACTGATGGGTTTCAGTCAGAACAA